ATTGTGTAATCAGTCGTTTAAGAACAGAGAGAGTCAAGCAGACAACAACAATTTTCCATCTGCCTTAGAGTTCCAGTTGGTACTCTCAAGGTGGTGATCCCAATCAGACAAACGGTGTGGGCAAACTTCTGCCAAGCCGAAAACTATCAGCTTCCTCCAAGATCAGTTACATCTGGCCAACAAAGTCCAGGGACCACAGCCTGCCCACGACCCTCAATAGAGCTGCTTGCAGACTGAGTCCAGCAGTGGTTTTGATCTAGGATGAGGTGGTTTTTCGGCCATATTGAAATTGGTGTTTTCCGCAAAACTGCAAGGGAAACACTTTTTTCACATCACAGGAGTCACGTGATCAAGAACCGGATGTTTCTACTGGCGCCAAAGACGAAGAAGACAACAGGAAGTAGAAGTAGTAAAATCAGAGAAGTAGTAACAGAAAGTAGTAAACTTACCAAGTATAATTTCCCAAAACCTCAGCATACGTAGCCACTCCCAGGTATAAGGGGCTCGTCGCTCTAAAGCCTTGATAAGACACYGACGTCTCCTCTGATGATGAGTACTAGTGTTGTGGTAGTAATATGCTGTGTTTACATCTGTTGCCACCATGTTTGTAATGACTTATCATGAGAACAAATGTATTCATGTGACTTTAATAGCATCTCTCATGTAATGGATGCACTGCAATTGTGAAACTGTTTTTTAACATTAACAAAATATCGACAAAGTTTTGGACACATTTGTAATGGAAACACAGCTAGTGAAGGGATATAAAGACTTTCAGGGAGCAACAAATTCATGGGAGGAAATAGTTCAGATCCTGGGTAAGATAGTTCTTTTCTTTTGTTGTTTTAAAGCTAAAATGCAAACTATCTCTTCCTCCTCATCCTTGACATCATGGCTGAAATTGTGAGAACCTAAAGAATTTGTCAGGCGATCAGTACGCTGCAGTATGAAGTCTCTGTCTGTGGACAATATGTGCAGAGTCAGCATGGCTCAGTATGTTCGGGTGTGTGGGAGTCTTAAAGCACTTTAGAGTCTGTAACACAAGTTCAGACCAGTTACAATTTAAAACATCTTGACTTGTTTTTGTTTTTAATTTGTACTGATGTCTGTCAGGTCTCTGTGGACAACACGACTTGTTTATCAGAGTTAAAGTGTGACATGCATGAAGCCCTTCAGGCTTCAGATGAAACCAAACAGAATCTGCTTTATGGAGGATGATGGTACATAAACTGTAACAGAAGACATTCCCACCTGGGTGCGATGTTGAACTGTTAATGAACTTTAGATGTAATCTGGGTGTTGGTGCAGCTGTCAGTCGGTGTGGAATAACAATCTGCTGAATCATTTTATGAACTCCTCAGTCACTTAGAGTCAGATCATCCCTGCAGTTAATAATCCTTTCTGACTGTTGGAAACCTGTCTCTGTAGACCTGATCTGTACAGAGCTTCTGGCAAGTTTGAGCTCCTTGATCGCATCTTACCCAAGCTTCAGGCCACCGGACACAGAGTCCTGCTCTTCTGCCAGATGACCTCACTCATGACCATCATGGAGGATTACTTCGGCTATCGCAACTTTCAGTATTTACGCCTCGATGGTAAGAACAGCCAACCCCAGCTCGTAACCTTCAGACTTCAGCTCTCATGAGACTTTTTCATTTGATGGATTCAGATTGATTGGGATCTGATTTACCTAAAGTTATCTCTGAGTACAAAAACTTTAATACAGTTCATGTTTGTTCATTAGATGAAGAGACTGTGTAAATGAAGTGACGTTTGTTTAATTTGTCAGGAACCACCAAGTCTGAGGACCGAGCAGCGCTGCTGAAGAAGTTTAATGAGGAAGGATCTCAGTACTTCATCTTCCTCCTCAGTACGAGGGCCGGAGGACTGGGTCTGAACCTGCAGGCTGCTGACACCGTCGTCATCTTCGACAGTGACTGGAACCCACACCAGGTGCATCCAGCTCTGTGCCTCACATGGAGGTCCAGTAAACCATTACTAAAGCTGCTGTTCCTCTGCTGGTTCCAGGACCTGCAGGCCCAGGACCGGGCTCACCGCATCGGCCAACAGAACGAGGTCCGTGTGCTCCGTCTCTGCTCTGTCAACAGTGTGGAGGAGAAGATCTTAGCAGCTGCCAAATACAAACTGAACGTGGATCAGAAGGTCATCCAGGCCGGAATGTTTGACCAGAAGTCCTCCAGCCACGAGCGCAGAGCTTTTCTTCAAGCTATTTTAGAGCATGAGGAGCAGAACGAGGTAACATCTGAGGCTGAACCCATGAGCACCACATCTTCTACAGTACATACATCATCCATCCATCCATCTGTCCATCATTCATCCATCTGTCCATCCATCTGTCCATACATCTGTCCATACATCCATCTGTCCATCATTCATCCATCTGTCCATCATCCATCTGTCCATACATCTGTCCATACATCCATCTGTCCATCATTCATCCATCTGTCCATCCATCTGTCCATCCATCTGTCCATACATCCATCTGTCCATGAGGAGCAGAACGAGGTAACATCTGAGGCTGAACCCATGAGCACCACATCTTCTACAGTACATACATCATCCATCCATCCATCTGTCCATCATTCATCCATCTGTCCATCCATCTGTCCATACATCTGTCCATACATCCATCTGTCCATACATCCATCTGTCCATCATCCATCCATCTGTCCATCCATCTGTCCATACATCTGTCCATACATCCATCTGTCCATCATTCATCCATCTGTCCATCCATCTGTCCATACATCCATCTGTCCATCATCCATCCATCTGTCCATACATCCATCCATCTGTCCATGAGGAGCAGAACGAGGTAACATCTGAGGCTGAACCCATGAGCACCACATCTTCTACAGTACATACATCATCCATCCATCCATCTGTCCATCATTCATCCATCTGTCCATCCATCTGTCCATACATCTGTCCATACATCCATCTGTCCATCCATCTGTCCATACATCTGTCCATACATCCATCTGTCCATCATTCATCCATCTGTCCATCCATCTGTCCATACATCCATCCATCTGTCCATACATCCATCCATCTGTCCATGAGGAGCAGAACGAGGTAACATCTGAGGCTGAACCCATGAGCACCACATCTTCTACAGTACATACATCATCCATCCATCCATCTGTCCATCATTCATCCATCTGTCCATACATCCATCCATACATCCATCCATCTGTCCATCCATCTGTCCATCCATCTGTCCATACATCCATCCATCTGTCCATACATCCATCCATCTGTCCATGAGG